AAAAAAAACCCTAACATTTCTTTTTTCTTGTTGTTGTTATTAATAGTATTATTTGAAAAAAAGAACACAGATTTTTATGACATCTATTTTTTTATATGTTTATTGTTTGTCAATTGAATAGACCAATACAATGTTGAGACGAATGTGGTGTATCGTTTTGATAAAACATGGACTTTTTGTCGACGATATAATACCTACATTCAAAAAAAAAAAATATTTTTATAGATTTCATTCATGGCTCGTTTGTCCATTATTTGTATTGGATTAATTTTATTTGTTACCGTTTGGTCATCATCTTTAAATATAGAAGGATCATCAAAACGTGTATTAGTACTTCTTGATAATTTGGCTATTCGAGAAACACATTCCTTTTATTTTAAACAATTAAGAGGTAAGAATTACCAATAGACAAATATAGTTCAGTGGGATAAAGAACGAACATTAAGTTCGATACTACATATTGGCAATCAAATGATGAATTCGATTTACATAGCTGTTCACATTCTGAATATCGTTGATTGGAATGAATATATTATCTGACGATTGTCATAATTGTTCTTGTTTTTTTTTTAAATTAAAAATTTGAGTATTTCTATGTTAGTCTGACAATATGTTTACATTTTCTTATATGCATTAATAGAAGTATTTTGATTTTGATTTTGGAGAAAAAATATTTCATTTAGATATTTAAAGTAAAATTGAATAGTTTTCATTACTTTACTTATGTTTTTTTTTAAAGGATTATGATACTCATAAACTTGATATTCTAAAAAAATGTTTTCTAGAGAAATGATTCTGAACTGCAAGTGTTCAGATATGTAAAAATCACTAAACTTTTCCAAAGTAGTTTTCCACTCTTAGCTAAATTGATGCAGTTTAAATCAATATTTTGATTTATCAGACAAGACAAATGAATAAAAAGAAATGTCACAAGTAACAATGAAAATATTCATATATTTCTTTTTGTTCGTGCTTGTTTACATATTTATAGCTGGAAATCTGTCGCGATGAACTATATAGAAAATTGCTACTGCTGCAATGGTGTTGGAGAAGTTCTTCGAAAATCTCTTCCATCGGTGTGCTAAATTAGCATAGTTAGATTGAATCTATCAGATTCATCACGATTCTGACCATTGGATTTGTGGACACTCAAATCGGGTACAGACTCATGGAAATTTTACCATCTCCCTAAAAAAAATAAGCTGCCCCTGACGCAGTCGCGGTGGCGGCAACGTCGCCATAGACATCTCTAATATATATATATATATACATCATACTCTTTCTTCAAATGTGATAATAGAAGATGCTGTGTATATTTTGCAAGAAAAGCGTGATAGTTTCGAGTATTTGAAAAGATTTTCTAGGATTAAAAGTAGAATGTATAAATCATTTTAGCGTCAATGTTCAATGATTTTCAGATGAAAATCGTGAAAACTAGGTATATTTCTTAAAAAAAATATTATTTACAGTTATCATTTCTTAATTAATTAAATAATCAAAAGAAGATCTTCAGTTGTATCTAAGATATTGTTTCGTTGGGAGATCATTTGAAAGATGACGAACAAATTGAACTAAGAATGACCAGTCTTAATTATCTGTAATAAAGTATTTAACAAACACTTTTTCGGTTTTGTTTAAATTTTGAAAAATCCAAATCAAGTCCATCTTTGATTCTCATATAAAATATTTAAGTAGTGTCTTATAGAAAGAATAACGTAATAGTTACCATCATTGACACTATATAGCATGGATTGCTTCTAATTTTATAGGGTACTGACCACTCACGATCTTCAGGTTATGACACTAATTAAAAACGATTTAACTTTATGGAGAAATATATACATATAATAGAATACTTATTTTTCAACTAAAATCAAATGATGAACTAACGGGTGCAGCAGAATAAATGGTCCTCTCAATATTTTATCTCTAACTCTTTTTTTCTTTCATCCAAAAGACATGATTTTATCATAGAAAGATGCACCGTAAAATTCTCTACAAAGTGACTTATTTTATCGTGGCTGAATACCGTTCGTCGTACTTTAAATCGAAATGATTTCATTTGGCAAAATTATGAGTACTTTTCAAAAATAGTTATTTTATAGTTTTTCCTAATATCGCTTTATTTGCCATTTCTTAGTAACTTTCGTTGATAGTTTGTTTTAGTTGAGAGGCAATCTGGGTTTACCGATGCTCCAGAGATACCTAGGCTTTCCTATTTGAGTTGAATCGGTAATTATCGAAATTAAAGTGTTATTTCAACAAAGGTCACTAAGATACGGCAAATGTAGTGATATTAGCAAAAACTATAAAATAGCTATTTTTGGAAAGTACTCATAATTTTTCCAAATGAAACCATTTCGATTTAAAGTACGACGAACGGCATTTAGCCAAGATAAAATAGGCCACTTTGTAGAGAATTTTACGATGCATCTTTCTATGATAAAATCATGTCTTTTGGATGAAAGAAAAAAAGAGTTAGAGACAAAATACTGAGGGAGCCATTTATTCTGCCGCACCCGTTATTTTAAATAGTTTGTTTTGTTTAGACCGTGGATTTGATCTAACCTATAAGTCATCAGATGACAGTAATCTTCAATTAGTTAAATATGGTGAATATATTTATGATCATATAATTTTATTTGCTCCTGCTACGAAAGGTAATCGAAATTTTAGTTTATATTATTCATATTATTATTGTTATGATTTAAAGAATTCGGTGGACGTTTGGATGCTGAAATTTTAACACAATTTGTTGATGCTGGTGGTAATGTTCTTGTTGCTGGTAGTCATATAATCGGTAAGATAATTAATGAAAAA